ATGTTGCCAAACAGTCAAGACATTTTATTCCTAAATGATGAAATATATGCATTACCAAAGAAAACATGTTGGGAAAGCACAACATAGAAAATACAGACAGAGAGCAACAAAGAGAATAGGAAATTTGTTTCAAGAAGGCAAATTATACACTGGTTTTTCAAAAGTTAAGCATGCAATGATAAAATCAACAAAAAGGAAAAATAAAGCTTTGATTAAGACCAAATTACACATGAAGGTAGCAACTGTGTTTATGTATGAAACTAAAAAAAAAAAAAAAAATATTATGTACAAAGAAGAAAACAATATTTAACTTTTATAAAATTATATGATGAGGTCTCATTTGAGTCATTAACAAACTGATGTTTAAACCTAAAAACAAACACAAAATTAATAAGGTATGTAACCACTTCGGACCTCCACAGTAATTTTACAGTGATTGCCATACTTTCAATTAGGTGATCAACCATTGCAGATGCCAGCCATGGTTTCCTCCATTAGGCTAGTTTCTAACTGTCAGAGAGAGGCTAGAGGAAGAGCATATCTGCAGAAACAGCAAATCTGGGTGCATTCCAAAGATTCTTAATAGGATTAAGGCCGGGAAAATACAGCAGCAACTTCATACGAGAATCATAAGGCAGAGATGGCAGTATTATTCATAATGAGGACATCAAGACCAATTGCTGCAATATACAGTTTCACGATGGGGTGTAGGACTTCATTCAGATGTCACTCAGGCAACAAAGAACTGTATTTAAAGATACGCAGCTGTGTACGATATCCGATTGAAATTCCAGCTCAGATCACAATGTTGCCACCCCTGAATGAATGATATTCAATGATGTTTTTGGACTAATTCCACACGCCTCATTCTCTTCAGGCCCTTACACACTTATCATCCGATTCCATGGCAAATGTGAACTTGGCCATGAACAAGGCATTACAGTAATCAGAGAGAGAGCCCAATTGAGATGTTGACACCACTTCAAGCTTGTCTTACTGGATTGGACAGTTAATGGAATACAAACACTTGGTACATGAGCAATACAGTTTCTTCATATGAAGTATTTGGTACACCTTGCAGTCAGTTATTGTTTTGCAAAGTAATACTGCTGCCACTGATGTAAAGTTATGGAGGTCTCTCGTTGATTCTTTTAAGCAACTATAGCAATATACTAGTCTTCATTTAGGGTGGTACCCCTTCATCGACTGAGCACAAGTCTCCAGACAGCTGTTTGAATTGTTTACACATTTGAGAAATTGCTGAATGATCAACACCAAAGTGAGAGTGACATCTTAGATTCAATTGATTTGCTTTCATGCACCAGACAGCACACCAGTGCTCACTATCTTTCATTTGCTTTTTTTATTTATTTATTTATTTTTTTTTTTCCATACATAGAAGCACAAATATAATTAGAAATTTTGCTTTTGAAGTTGTAAATGTTAGCATTTTGATGAACCTCCTCAAACCCTTCAGTATGCTGCCATTTTAACAACTGCCTAGTTATCAGATATTCGGACAGTCAGTAATGGTTGTCTTTAACATTTGATATTTGCAAAGTGTTAACTGCATTCATAGCAAATTTCAGCCACTCAAATTCAGCTATGCTTTTGGTAATTGCTAACTGCATTGCAAGCTACAGACAATAATTTATTTATTGTTAGAGAAAGGAATTAATAGAATATCACACAAATAAAATAGATATGGCCGATAAAACTGTGAAATACTGGAACAAAAAGTTTCTATTATCAAAACAGGAGAAGCAAAGGCCCCAGAATCCAAATTGAAAAATAAAATTTCTAATATCCAGACAGGCACAATGTAATTACAATATGTGTACCCAGATTCTTAGATATAAATTATGCAGAATATATCTTAATACTTCTTAAGAATTCATACACAACTAGAAGAAAATTAACATATATCATCTTAGTTTAACTAGGAAAAAATAACATATATCATTTATATTACACATTATTCACAACATATATCATTCATATACATTACACATTTCATAATATAATATTGGTACTTATGTATTAGAGCAATCACATTAATAATAACTGTTAAATTTCCAGTGTTCCAAAGTCTGACAACCATGCATTTAATTCAGTTTCAGCAATGCTATAATTTTTGTCTGTGTTCTTTATATTGTTTCCCAAGTTCCAATAAATAGCCTTTCACAGAGAGATTGTCATATTATTTGTCTAAAATACAATTTTAAAACATGAACTTCTGACTTTTAACTGCAGCAGTAAAACTGTGGCAACATTTTTGCAAGGATACACCATTTTGTCACAAAATCACAAAAAGAATTGCTTTTAATCTATTCTTAAAGTAAGTGCCACGAAATTTTCCCCAGAACAAAAGAAATTAAAACCTGCTTATAAATAGATTTTTGATTGATTTTCCAGATAACTACCAAATTAACATGAAATAAACTGTTTGAAATTATAAACCATCATTCCTCTTCTTATGCAAAATAACTGCCATACTGTACTAGGTGTTTGCACTAATATGTAAGTATTACAATGTTATACAGAATAACATACCACACTTTAACAAGAATTTCTAGCCACTGCAAATACCATCTGTGCAAACAGTTCACCCTGGTGTGTTTAGTCATATTTTGGCATTTGAAAGAAACAGACTTGCTTCAGAATTCTGTGTTGTGAAATTTGTAAAAAAATATTGCTTTCATTAAGGTGTCTGAAATGGAGCTATCATGCTACCAGATTAGAACCACCATTTACTTCTTGTTCTGTTGCAAAATGTGAACTACAGAATGTCACCAAATCACGTATACAGTCAAAAGTCTTTAATCCGGACTCGTCGGGACTTCATCGATTCCGGATTATCGATTTTTCCGGATTATAGATCATCAGTTTAAATCTGGTAAGATGGCATGCAGAAATTATAAAATTAAAAATATGAAACTGTAATTTATGAAATAAAGAACAATTATGATGTAAAGGGTATCAAAATTTAAAAAAAAAAAAAAAAAAAAAAAAAAAGCTTAATATTGATTTGTTTACTTCATTAAATATTTCTTTCATTACGCATAGTCGAAATTAGAAAATTGCAACCAGAAAACTATTTGATGTGTATTCGTGATATTCATACTGAATTTGATTTAAATCATATCAGAGTACATCGAGATGAAATACTACATTTAGTAATGAACTATAAGCCGAATAGAATAAAAACATTTGCCCTGAAGATAAGGATAGTGCTGACAGATCAACTTCCAGTTCATTGCGCGCCGCGACGTTCCCCTCCCCCCCCGCAGATCAGCATGAAATTGATAAACAGATTTCAGATAGAGAAACAAAGGATATGCCTTTATCCATTTTTTGCAGCAATTTCACTTTTTGTTTGATGGACATCGAAACATGCTTCCGCTTTGTAGATCCTTTCACAGTATCCAGCATTGGAAATTCTATTTGACAAAACCGAAAGTTCAAGCTTACTTTTATAAAATTGCTCTAACAGTCTGCAAAAAATAATAAGCCGGATCCAATTCGAAGATTAAGAAACAACGCAATCTGCAACATTAATTGAAATAGATAATTAGATAATTTTAGCTTAGCTTATACCATCCGTTATACATTAAGCGCACATGCGTAAAGGTATTACGAGCATGTGTGAATGCATATGCGCATGTGTGAACGCATTATGCGTTGACGCATGCGCAGAAAGTTTGTAGCTTTGAGGTCCGGATTATAGATCATTCCGGATTATGGTCGTCCGGTTAACGACTTTTGACTGTATAGCTTTAAGTGCTAATGTTGTATCATATGACACTACAAAGGTTTGGTTATGAAAGTTAAAAAACAAGGACTGTGAGGACTGTGACACTAAAGAAGCACATCGCTCTGGCTGGCCTACTGATGTTGATGAGGCCAGCCTGCAATAACTTAGATCAGTACACTGTTACTTGAGAACTTGTTAAGGAGTTGGACAATAGTGCAGTGTCCATTAGTAGCACTATGCATTGCATAACTTAACATAAAATTTAAATCACTGGGTACTGCACGAGCTGACTCAAGCAGATAAGCACAGACATTTTCAGGCCAGCCCTAATCAGTTCGATTATATCAATGCAAGGGCAAAATTCTGGAATGGATTGCCAGTTGTGATGAAAAGTGGATTTACTTCCATGGCTAAGGCCAAAAGTTGGGTTGGTCTACGGCCTAGTGAGCCCGTCGGCAGCACTACAAAGCGCAATTTGACTAACAAAAAGATCATGCTCTGATAGGATTGTCGTGCTATTATCAAGAGAGATGCGGTATTATCCACAAAGAGTATCTGGGAAAAAGTAAAACCCTCAACAGTAAGGTATACAGCAAGATGCTAGATTGTGTTGACGATGCTATCATGGAAAGATGTGAAGCTGAATTCCGGTGCAAAAAGGTAATGTTCCATCAAGATAGTGCAAGATCACATGTGTCTGCATTCACCAGCTGGACACAATATGGATTCGAATGGTATCTTATGCCATACCCAACATATTGCCCCGACATTGCTCCTTCAGACTTCTACCTTTTTCCACACCTGCAACTACATCTTGCTGGTACTATCTTCTATCCTGCACAGAATGTCCAAAATGAGTTTGACCGTTTTGGGGATTCGCAGCCACCAAGTTTCTAGGCTAAAGGCTTTGAAAAACTACCAAAACATTGGGGAAAAATCATAGATTTGGGTAGTGATTACTACCCGCACTAAAGGTACTGCTTTCATGGGTTTTCCCTCTAACTTTCTGGCAGAAAACTTTCATTACAGATATTTTATTATATAATACAATATTATAATGTTAATTTAAATCTCATATTTGCATAATTTTAAATTACTTTAGTAATTTAAATGATTCAGAAATATTTTAGTACTTGAAAAAAGAACTTGTAAAAAAAAAAATACAAAATTTTATACCCCACCGAAAACTTGTAAAACTTACAATAGTAAATGCTTTTTTTTATTTATAATTCAAAAGGATACTCACGGTTACAACTTTCATAAAATCTTCTAAAGAATGAGGAACATCTTTTTTGAAATTATATGTTTTTGTGGCTATACCTATTCCAGCACAATTTACAGCAATATCTAATTTGTGAAATCTTGTTTTTGTTATTTTTAATGCTTCCTGTACATCGCTTTCTTTGGTCACCTATAAATTAAATATATCAATAACTCATTAACTAAAGCACACACATTTTAAAATAATTAAATTGGAATTTCTACATTAAAATATACGAAGATACTCTATTTTTAAAAACAATGATTTTTAACTTTCTGAGTTGATATTCTCTTTAATGCCAACCAAGAGTCTCACCAAAAAGAAACCCTTAGTCACATTCTTCCTTTTTAATTAAAGTGAATCTAATAAAGTCTAAAATAATCATACTAAACATAAATACTTACATCAATAGGTGCAAAAGCACATTTTTCTCCAAGTTCTTCAGCTATTTTCTGTCCATTTGAGGATGGTAAATCACATATAACTACACTTGCTCCATTCCTGACCAATCGTCTAGCTGTAGCTTCTCCAAGCCCAGAGCCTGCTCCAGTAACAAGAGCAACTAAACCCTTCAAAGAATTCAAGAAAAATTAAGAAAAAGGAGAAAATTATTTTAGCAAAAATATTTCATGTGCTAGATATAGATGGTAAAAATCTGTATATTACAGAAACAAGAAAATAATACGCATAAAAGGTGGTCTTTTAATTACAACTGTACAAAATGACTTCCAATGAATTCCTGGGAAATCAGTAAATGTGACCAAATAAAAACATTCTACTTAATCTAACATACTTGCAACTAATATTCTAATTAAAACAATATATACAGTCAAAAGTCGTTAATCCGGACTCATCGGGACTTCTGCGATTCCGGATTATCGATTTTTCCGGATTATAGATCATCAGTTTAAATCTGGTAAGATGGCATGCAGAAATTATAAAATTAAAAATATGAAACCGTAATTTATGAAATAAAGAACAATTATGATCTAAAGGGTATCAAAATTTACAAAAAAAAAAAAAAAAAAAAAAAAAAAAAAAAAAAAAAAAAAAAAAGCGCTTAATATTTATTTGTTTACTTTATTAAACATTTCTTTCAATGTAAGTTGTTTAAGTTGCTTTGTTTTATGTGCTAATACTTTCTCTTTAATTCTATAAACAGACATAATTTCTTCTTAAGTTACAAAGTTCCGCTGTTTAAGTCCTATAATTGCTGTGTCAAGAATACCGACTAATTTGTCAATCAAAATTTTTTCGTTTTCAATAACCTCTGTGTCACTTTCTTCACTATCGGAAGTGAATTATAATGAGGAGGAATTTGATTTAAATCATATCAAAGACGGAAGACATCGAGATGAAATACTACATTTAGTAATGAATTATAAGCCAAATAAAATAAAAACATCTGCCCTGAAGATAACGATAGTGCTGACAGATCAACTTCCAATTCATTGTGCGCCGCGGTCCCCCCCTTCCCGCCGCAGAACAGCGTGGAATTGATAAACAGTTGTAGATCCTTTACATATTAGTAAATATATATCGGAAATTCTATTTGACATAATCGAAAGTTCAAGCTTACTTTTACAAAATTGCTCTAACAGTCTGCAAAAAAAATAATAAGCCGGATCCAATTTGAAGATTAAGGAACAATGCAATCTGCAACATTAACTGAATTAGATAATTTTAGCTTAGCTTATACCATCCGTTATACATTAAACACGCATATTCGCAGCCGTAAAGGTCTTACGCGCATGCGTCGACGCTACGCATGCACAGAAAGTTTGTAGCTTTGAGGTCCAGATTATGGGTGACCGAATTAACGACTTTTGACTGTATAAGAAGAAAGGGTTGATCTTTGGATTATGGTAACTTGGCGATTTTTTGGCAAAAATTTGGCGACCAACTCTGCTACAGCAACCCTCTATTTTTTTTTTTTTTTTTCCGCTGCCATTTTGTCTTCACGAAGTAAAGACATGTTTCTTTTCTTTTTATTTACTGAACACTTTTTCCAACAATCTACTAGCCAAATTACACTTATACTAGAAATTTTATCTAACAAAACTGCTTAATCATGACAAATATTCACTGCAAAATTGGGAAAAAGTGCACAATCACAAACTCCTTGCGCGTTTTTCCACAATAACACATACACATAAACCATGTACACGTCGACTTATTTTTACTTAAAAAAACATCGCAGAATTGCACAAAAATGGCATTGTACACACTCTTCACTATATCCATGTACACTGCTTTTTTCTCATAAATTAGAAAAATTTCACGAAAATGCATGACAATTTTCTGAATCTTTAAACCCGGTAAAAAGAACATATATGAAATTACCTGATCGCGAAAAAATATATAACCTTTCCAAATATGAACATTTCCACGTATAAAATAAATAAAATATCTAAAAACTTTTACCTCGAAATTATCTATTATATTATAAATGTCACCAACGAATTCATACCGCAAACATTACAAATACTTAGTGTCAAATATTTAAATTATTTCCATGCACGTTTACTTCAACTAAAACGCATACCAAATTCCTACAAACATAAAATTCACAAAATAACTATCATTTAATTAAAATATCACTAAACCACGTACACGTCGACTTATTTTTACTTATAAAAACATCCCAGAATTGCACAAAAATGGCATTGCGCACACTCTTCACTATATCCATTACACTGCTTTTTTCTCATAAATTAGAAAAATTTCACGAAAATGCTGAAATACTCAACGTATACTACTCAAACAATAACTCACAAAATCACGATATTAATTAAAATATAATTAAATTAAAAAATAATTAAATTAAAAAACACTACTGAAAATATAAATAAGCACATACATTAAATTATAAAAATTAGATTACAATCCTAATTACTTTAAACTAAATCATTGCTAATAACAATTTTCAAATAATTCCATTTTAATTTATTTACTCCTTACATTTAGAACAATGCATAAAAATAATATCCTCAACTGATTGAAAATACAGTCAAAAGTCGTTAATTCGGACACCCATAATCCGGAATGATCTATAATCCGGACCTCAAAGCTAAAATCTTTCTGCGCAAGCGCCGCATTGACGCATGCGCATAGGCGTTTTATGCGTGCGCGCAAGACATTTACAACTGCGCATATGCGTTTGCGCAAGCGCAGAATACATTTTCGTGTGCGCGTTTAATGTATAACGGACGGTATAAGCTAAAATTATCTAATTATCTATTTCAGTTAATGTTGATGATTGCGTTGCTCCTTAATCTTCGAATTGGATCCGGCTTATTATTTTTTGCAGACTGTAAGAGCAATTTTATAAAAGTACGCTTAAACTTTCGATTATGTCAAATAGAATTTCCGATGCTGGAGCTCCCAAAGGATCTAGAAAACGAAAGTATGTTTCGATGTCCATCAAACAAAAAACGAATTGCTACAAAAAATGGATAAAGCCATATCCTTTGTTTATCTAACCGTTCCAAAATCTGTTTATCAATTTCACGCTGCTCTGCGCGGGGGGGGGGGGACGTCGCGGCGGCAATGAACTGGAAGTTGATCTGTCAGCACTATCGTTATCTTCAGGGCAGATGTTTTTATTTTATTCGGCTTATAATTCCTTACTAAATGTAGTATTTAATCTCGATGTACTCCGTCTTTGATATGATTTAAATCAAATTCCTCGTCATTATAAATATCACGAATACAAATCAAATAGTTTTCTGGTTGCAATTTTCTAATTTCGGCTATGCGTAAGGTATGCTTTATGCATGCGTGCGTTGAAAGAAATGTTTAATAAAGTAAACAAATAAATATTAAGCTTCTTTTTTTTGTAAATTTTGATACCCTTTAGATCATAATTGCTCATTATTTTATAAATTACGGTTTCATATTTTTAATTTTATAATTTCTGCATGCCATCTTACCAGATTTAAACTGATGATCTATAATCCGGAATCGCCGAAGTCCTGACGAGTCCGGATTAAAGACTTTTGACTCTACTAACTTACCTAATCTTCTTCAGAATCTTCATTACGTCGCTGCAGTTCTACTGCTAATTTCTAAATCCTAAATCCATAGTCAACGGAAGTATTCACAAGTAATAAAATTAATAAATTTCACATACTCAACTACTTCAGCAAACCTAACACTCCTTTCACAAATGTCCATTTTCACCATATTCTTGCACCACCATTTAAACTTGTAATATCCTTCCTTTCACACAATCTCAACTTATTATTATCAGATAAACACATTAAAAATTTACAATTCACTTTACATAGCACCATGGCAATCTGAAAAATTAATCAACACTGTTTCACACACACACAATGAAGCTTTTCCAAATTAACCCCCTTTTCCGATTAAAGAACTGTAATTCGTCCATTAATGTCACGTTTCACACAACACAGAATATAGCTAAATACGAAATTTCCAGATTTCCTCCCCTTTTCTGATTAAACAACTGTAATTCGTCCATTAATGTCACATGACATATCTCATGATCTCTCATTTCCTTCACACAAAATAATGCATAATCGGAACTGAGTGCTTCTCACATTATTACCAAAGTCCTAGGTAGTAACCTTTATCGCCTCCAAAATGTCGCCAAACTACCAGTTACCATATTCCAAAGATCAGCTGTAATCTTTTTCTTATTTATGAGAAATTGTCCGGTTACTTTATGAGTGAACCTTAAGCTAAAAGTACAGTATTTATTAAAAATACATTTCATACATTTCTAATAAATGCTGTAATTTTTCTCGCATATCTCTCTTTAACAATCAAGTTGACAACAGAAGAATTCTGAGCTTTTTGTCATCAGATAAATCTGAAAATAACCTTCCAAATAAAATTTGTTCAGAATGTCATTTCCTCAATTTTGGCTATTACATTTGCTCTAAGAATAACGAACAAGATTCACCAATTCCCCCATTGTAAGTGACCTCACAATTTTAAATGACAATCAGATCGAGTTTCTAAATCAAACAAAATTAAATGAACACAATGATATTTTATACCCTAGGAATCATCAAAAAAGTCTTTTAAAAAAAGATTCCATCATGCATTTAACTGCTACACTAATTATAAGGAATAATTTTTCTAACAGAAGTAAAAAAATGATTTTAAATTACACATTTTTAGTTAAATGCTAAAAAGCCTAAAATTTGGAAAAGTGCAGAATCACCCAAACAGTGGGGGGTAACCATATATGAGCTGTATTTGAGCAAACAGAATTCCAAAGAACACAGTATAGAAGTGACATACATAACAATGATTATAATATATTCACTTGAATTTATTTTTTGACAGTTTCAATTTAAAATCCACAATAGCTATAAATTTCACAATTTCTTGGTTATATACGATCATAGCTGTAGTTAAAAAATTATTTATTTTTTATCACATCATGTAACTGGCTTGCCAGATGAAAAATGATAAAGAACGAATACAGAAAGATTTTTTAGGCAGAAAATCGCAAGTTAATACAAACGGAAAAAGGATCTTAGACTTGTAATAAACATTTCGGTTAGGATACATTTCAATGAACAACATAAATTGTCTATGAACTGCAATACTGAAAATCTTCAAAGATGTTTCTTGCTACTCCGAAAAATGAAATCACAAATTTTTCTACTTTACCTTTACAGTTCTTATCGTACTGGACATAGTTTGAAAACGTATACTAATATTTGTGATTGATATTTTTTTTTTGCGCCACAAAGCGTCAAGTCACTTTCGTCTTACGAACTTCAAAGTGAATGCCTATTTTCTTGAATAAGAAATAAATCTAACTTGAAACTACTCTACAAAAGTTTTCTTAGCCTACATCAATTTGCTTGTATCTAGCTACTAACACACGTGACACAAACAGACATGTGTCTTGTTTTGCACCCGCTAAGTCTTTTTGCCGGAAGGGTGAAAAGTAAAGCTAAGGGGATCAAGGAAGTTAATTTACGGAGTGCGCTAAGCTAGGCCTTTAAACTCCACATCACACAGATCGTATTTTATTCTCGAGTGTCAAGATGTAGAAACATCTTTTTATTCCACTTCTGATAAAGAGCGGGTGGGGGTAGAAAGAGAAGGGTGAAAGGAGTGTGGGAGGCGGATGAAAGAGAGTGAGGTCCGCACTAGCGGCGGCGAAAAAAGGGGGGTGTCAAGTTCAGTGTCGCTATAAGATGTAGCCGCGAGTGGTAAAACCGCAGAGTCAGTTTTGAATGAGTCAATTAAGGTTGTGATTCTTATGTGGGAAGGATGTCACAAGGGTAGCGATGTTTTTCTCTGGGACGCTGGGAGTGTCTGAGAGTGCGAATAAGGCTATTACTGTGGGTTTGTACTGAATAAAAGAAGTTGACCGCTAATCGTTTAATATACTCTTGAATAAGTTCGATTCGAAGGTCTCTGTGAATATAGATGTTGGGAATATACCAAGGAGCATTCTCGTAGAATTTTATTGTGTAGAATTTGTAATTGTTTAATATTGGTTTTAGCTGCATGTCCCCAGATCGGTGCTGCATAAAGAAGAGCTGGGCGCAGTATGGAGCGATATAGAATTAATTTGTTTGTAGTAGATAAGTTGCTTTTTCTACCAAGAAAAGGTCGCATAGTAGCTGTGGTGATTTTAAATTTTTGTACTACGGACCGGAAATGGGTTCTGAAGGTAAGTTTTTGGTCAAGGGTGACTCCAAGGTATTTGGTTTCATTATTGCAGTCTATTTCTTCGTCAAATATTTCAGGGGCTGGAGGATAGTATTTCATGTTTCCTTTACGGAAAATTATTGCCTTAGTTTTATCAGTGTTCATTTTAATCCTCCAAAGGGTAAGCCATTTTTCTAGTTTTATGAGATAGCTTTGGAGTTGGTTTCTTACTGCGATAGCTGTGCAGGCTTTAGTAAGTATGGCGGTGTCATCGGCAAAGAGTGAACAGAAGGGTCTTTAGGGATGTCTTGTGTATAAATATTAAAAAGGTACGGCGGAAGTGCCGACCCCTGTGGGACACCAGCATTGATTACTCTGGTGGTAGAGTAAGCAGTACCGATTTTGATTCTGAATGTTCTGTTGCTGAGAAAAGAGGCTATTAAGCGAATAAAATGATCTGGAAAATTGAGAGTGATTAGTTTGTAAATAAGACCTCGATGCCATACCCTGTCAAAAGCTTTCGCCATATCGAGAAATATAGCACCGGTCGGAAGCTTGCAGTTGTAGCCTTCAGTGATAATGTTGATAACTCTAAGAATTTGGTGGCAAGTGCTATGATGATTACGAAAACCGAATTGTTCTTCTGGGAGAAAATTCATAGGAAGTGAATTTTTTGGATGTGGAAAAGTAGGATTTTCTTGGTAACTTTAGACAGGTGGCTAAGTAAACTGATAGGGCGATAGTTCTGTGGGAGAGTTGGATTTTGTTGCGGTTTAGCAAAAACAATTATTATAGCTTGCTTCCATGAGTTAGGAAAATGAGCGAATTTGATAATGTTGTTGATTATCTTAGTTAGGCAGGTAAGAGCGTTGATCGGAAGATGGTTCAGTGCTTTAGTCGAGATGCCATCGTGCCCTGGGGCTTTCTTCGTTTGTAAGGCACTGATGGTGTTGGCAACGATTGTTGGGGTAGTCAGGAAAGTGAAGTTGTACGGAGCAGGGGTATTAAGGAAGTTATTGACCACCTAAATTAACCCGTTCAATATGGTTATTGTCGTACGGAGTGGGATTAAGGGTAAGTGTATCTTCCATATAGTCCGCAAAAGATTTAGCTTTATCTTCTTCAGTATATGAAGTTCCACTAGGTCCATGGATAGGTGGAATAAGTTTATAAGGTTTCTTGAATTTGCGGGAAATGTCAAATAGGGAATTGTCCTCTATAGCTAGGTTATTTAGTAAATTGGTCCATTTTTGGTTTTTGAAGTTCTTGATTCTTCTGTTGATTTCTTTTTGCATAGAGTTTAGTTCGTGTTTGAGTTGTGGATCCCTGGTGGTTTGCCATCTTTTACGGATCCGGTTTTTCTCTTTAATCCTATTTCTTATATCGGCAGGCAGGGGAAGGAAAGGCTTGTTCACATAAAAAGTATTGGCGGCTTCCTTTAAAGCAGTATTGATGCTGTTGGTAAATTTTGAGACTTCGTGTTCTAAATCTTCTGTATTGTTGATGCATGGGTTACCTTGTATGGAGTTATTCAGAATTTCAGAGTATTTGATCCAATTTGTAACTCCTATACTTCTGTATTTATTAATGGTAAGGGAGGTATTTATTAATGGGGGTTTCAAATACAATGGGGTTTTGGTCAGAAGACAGGGCTGAAATTACAGAGATATTGCATCTGTTAGTAATGTTATTTGAGATGAAGAAGTCAATTGTGGTGGCGCTATTGTACCCGTAATGAGTGGGCTCGTCTGGAGCATGAATAAACTTCACACCATCAGAGATAAAATAATTACATCAAAAGAGGGGTTCATCTAATATCTAATAAGGGAAAAATTTAGAAGCCTAACTTATAAAAATAAAAGCTTTTGAGATAATGCCTTTCGCATGAGAAAAAAAGTAAAAAATCATAGAAAAAGCTAGGGGGCGAAGGAAAGGTAAATATTTTTTCTATGGACTTGTACTGTTGTGTGCTCTGTTAAATTGTGAACTATTGCGAACTAACTGTGTTGTGGTAACATGCAGGAGAACGAATCCTCCTCCTTAATTGTGTAACTAATGAAACCGACGGATGCTACCCGGAATTATAGGCTCACCCTCACGGTTGGCATCGTTGACAATGGATAACTGAAAAGACGCATATACGCTGACTTTATTGATGCAGTACATCACACTGAAAAGATAAAGCTATATATTAAATCAAGAAGAGGGGTTTCTGGATGTATATTATAATATTACATTTATAGTAATTTAATTAATATTCAGTACAAAATTATGTATAAAGTGTATGTAATTTCTTTGTATTTATCATTATATTATAAAATTTAAGAATGTATTTGTCTGGAAGAAGTGTAATTTTATTTTTTTACAGTATATGGAGAATTTTTCAGAATGTAGTTGCTGAATTAATAATAATTCTTAGTAATATAATTATAATAATAATATAATTATAGTTCTTAGCTTGATTGAGAGTATACTCCTATAGGCGGCGCTTTCCAACATTAGCGTGATGGATAAAGGACAGTATTGTAATCTGACCTCACGCATCTGAAAATGGAGTTGCTAAGATTTCCTGAGATATTTCGTTTAATTCAAAGATGCATAAGTTCTCGCTGTACTGCTGAAGCAGACATAATTTTAAAAGTGGATAATTTAGTCATGCACAGAATTTTACTTCAACGTGGATTCTATGGAGATGGCCATTATCATTCTTAAGGAGAAAATCAGGATCGATGTCTTGACCGACCATTGGTCTTCCTATAACTTTTTTACTGGCTTAAAATTGTTGCTACATTTGAGAGATTACTGCTTGATCACCAAAAATCAGCAACGTCTTCGATTGACTGACCTGCTTCAAAACGTTTGATAGCATGCCAACACTCACTATCTGCCATTTGTCTTTTTTCGGCCTTTCAGGAACATGAATGGCATAAAACATTATCCTTCGAAGTTATAGGTACTTCATATGAGCATTTAATAATGTGAGAACAACACCTAAGATCTGGCTATATCACCCTTAGTTTATCGCTAATCTTCGCCACAAAATGAAACAACTACAGCGACAGCTGCACATTGTCAGGATAAATATTACATATGTATACCTTACCTACGTACCGACCGAGTAAAACCACTACTATGGCAGCCATACTCAGGTCCGCACAAAGTCCTCACCAAATACGACAAAATTTTACAATTGAAACAAAAAGCACTGCATCTCCTGAGTCTATTAATTATGTAAAACCAGCCTACTTGCTCTCGGATTCTGATTTGCCTGAACCCAGATCAAACAGAGACTTAAAGACAGCTCATCAAAATAAATCTACCCCAAAACTCTAGGTTACAGATTCTCACAAAATCAGGCAGACATGTTCATTCCTCGAAGATACTTGCTGTTTAAAATTTTTGAAATTTGCTTTGTAATAAATTCAAATACTTTTCTTGCGAATGGCATTATTTCACTCACCAAACTGCACGACTCAAAGACAGACCTCGTGTGATGAATTGTCGAGTTTAATATCTTTAGAATATAATTTCCTTAATAACCAGATGTAGTCAGAAAAATGTCTCAATGTTTATTGTATGTGCTCTATGTTATTAAATTGTATTTTGTTACATGTCATACTATCTCTTCTTTTTCGGAATTACCGAATTAACATCGGGTAGACGTTCATTATTGTGTTACTGTTACATTTCAGAGCTAGTCTATTATTGCAAGACGCGAATTATAAAATATTTTGATGCTCATAAGTGGGACAATCTCGGTAAATAGTGATATTAATAAATAAGAGATAATGGATGTGTTACTTTTGAAAATACAAAGAAAACCGTTAAGAGCAACGTTTAAAACGTGTGCGAACAAAATAGGAGATGGGTTACTTGAAGAAGTTCTCGATGTGAACACAATTTCAGTTTTGGAGTTTTAGCTAAAGGATAAATTCACACGTTTAGAAAAATGGCCTAAAAGAGCTGTCTACAGCTATTTTAAAATATAAGGATAATGAAAGAGAATTTGAAGAAGATTTTGAATCTGCTGAAACTTATCGTGATAAATTTTCGGAGTTGTGTTTCAGAATTGAACAATTTTCAAGCAAGAAAAAAATATCAAATGTTAAATCAGCTGGAGAAATTATTTCTAAACAAAGAAAGTTCAAGTTACCGAAGATTGAATTGAAGAAATTTAGTGAAGAGGCAAAACAATATTTGACTTTTTGGAGACAATGTTCCAAGA